GAAAAAATTTCCTGTAATTTTCTATTGAATACATGTGGTTGGAAAAATCAATTAAATGATGATAATCCATTAACATGGAATATTGGAATCGGACGTGTACATGATGTAACCAAATTAACATTTTTAAATTCAGCTAAAAATTTTATCTATCATACAAAACCATTATTGTATACAGATTTTACTAAATTATCTGATGGTAAAATTGGTCAAATGCAAATGATCAGTGAAATTGTTGAAAATGGTATACCAAAACATGGTGCTTGTTTACGAATGGATTATGAAGTATGGTCATTTGATTCGAAAACCGATAAGTTTTTCATCAATTATCAAACATTTTTGGGAAAAACTGAAACACGGGAAAAAGAAATCTGGCATTTTAATTCAAATAATCGTGGCAATAATACTGTAACATTGCAACTACCATATACTGATGGTGAATTGTTTCGTCTAATTTTGACAGCTAAATCTGCACATTCATCAACATATATTACTGTTAAAGAAATTCAATTCTGGGAAAAATCATCAATCAATGATGATTGTAGCAAAAGTTTAGTTTGATTATTATGTCCAGTTCTGTATTTGATATTCTGAATTTTGAATTTTTTCTAAGTTTAATAAAAGTGCGATTTTTTAAAAAGTACAATTTTGTTTTCAAATAACCTTAACAACAACAACCGTCTATATAAAGTTTCATCATTTTAATCAGACAACAAACAATGAAAATTGAAAATTGAGATTTTGTTTCGAGAACAATCGATATTCATCTTCATTATCCGATTGCATTATTGATGATTATCATTTGATTTTTTTAAAAACAAAAAACAAAAATTGAATGACCATGAAATCATTGAATTGAATTGAATGGAATTGTTTTTTGGGTTAACAAAAGATAATCCTTTTTTTTATTGTTATTCAATAGGCGTTTTTTGGGCTAATGAAGAAAACAATAGATATTGCACACACACACACACACGATGATGATGATGATAATGACACCTGACTTTATCAGATCATTCATTGATGAGGATCGATAATTGAATGGATTCGATTCTATTTAAGCCAATCGATCGGTGATTTTTGGATGTTTTTGCTTTTTTTTCATTCAATCATTTAATTTTAAATTTTGCTCTTTTCGTTTCAAAATATTTTCAATTTGTGAAAGTGACTTACTAACAACAACAACAACAACAAAATGGATCGAAATTTTCGATTCATTCGAATTATTTTTTGGTTATTCATAATCAATAATAATGTGTATGGTGATCACTATTCTGATCTAAGTGGTTGTAATTTTCAAACACGTCAATGTAATTGGACATTTTCGTCAAATTGGAAATGGCAACCGATTTCTGGTAAACATGATCAACATTCATTACAATTAAATTCAACACCATTTACAGATGAAGGTGGTTATGAATTAGAAAATCATTTAATTCGTAATGAATTTATAAAATCACCAGAATTTTCATTGCAATCTAGTTCAGAATATGTTTGTTTTGATTTTGATTATTATTTTATGAATGATGGTCGTCATGATAATCAAAATTATTTGACATTATATTTATTTGAATCAAATTCTGTCAAAAATGGTAAAAAAATATGGGTAACACCAATATTAAACACTGATTTTTGGCATCATACTTATGTGGAAATATCAAGACCATCAAAATCATTTAGATTGAATTTTATTGCCGATAGTGATGGTGGTTTAATGGCTGTTAAAAATTTTCATCTTAAATATGATCATTGTCCAAAAAATGTCAATATTTGTGATTTTGAAACTGGTATCTGTGGATGGAAATCATCAGGGGAAGGTGGTATTACAATTCGAAGAACACTTGCTTTCTATGCTGGTGCACCAAAAGGTATTGATCATACAACATTAACACCATACGGTTATGTTTTATTTGGTAAATATTGTTCAGTACACCATGTATCAAATGCAACTTTAACAAGTCCGGTTATCGATAAATTTTCCGGACAAAAATGTTTTCAATTTTGGATTTATATCAATGATGATCCTGTTGAATATTTAAAATTATCATTATACCAATTATCGGATGATAATAATACCACAAACATATGGAAATTGAATGCTACACAACAAATGGCTGAAGAATGGAACCGTTTTCAAGTTACTTTAAATTCCGCAGAATCATCGACTACAAGACTACAATTTCATTTAAATTATACTGGTCGTGGATCAATAAGATTTGATGATTTTGGTTTATTTTCCCATAAATGTCCGGAAAAAATTTCTTGTAATTTTCTATTGAATACATGTGGTTGGAAAAATCAATTAAATGATGATAATCAATTAACATGGAATATTGGAATCGGACGTGTACATGATGTAACACAATTAACATTTTTAAATTCAACAAAAAAATTTGTCTATCATACAAAACCATTATTGTATACAGATTTTACTAAATTACCTGATGGTAAAATTGGTCAAATGAAAATAATTAGTGAAATTGTTGATGATGGTATACCAAAATCTGGTGCATGTATACGATTGAATTATGAAGTATGGTCATTTGATTCGAAAACCGATAAGTTTTTTATCAATTATCAAACATTTGTTGAAAAAAATGAAACAATGGAAAAAGAAATATGGCGATTCAATTCAAATGATCGTGGTAGTAATCATGCTAACATTTATATACCATATAATAATGGTAAAATATTTCGACTAATTATTGTGGCAAAATCGGCTCATTCATCAACATATATCACTATTGATGATATTAATTATGAAACTACATTTTCACATTGTAATAAAATAATTACATCATCATCATCATGGTCACATACACCATTATCAACAACAACCGAATCAACATGGCCAACATCATGGTCACATACACCATCATCAACAACAATCCGATCATCAAAACAATCATTAAATTGTGATTTTGAGCAAGGAAATTTTTGTTCATGGCAATCATTATCTGAACATTTTCGTATATATAAAGCTGAAGATACTAAATATGATATTTTTGACGATCATACTACTAAAAGTTCACAAGGACATTTTGCCGCAAGTTCTACAATTGATGATTGGACACCATTTATGAAAGCAAAAAATCCATTCGATAAAGGAACAAAATTTTGTTTTGAATTTTATTTCTATGCAGCATATAAATCAAAATTGAATTTAATTCTTGGTAATCAACATAAAAATCATACATTATTTTTAGGCTATGAATCGGATTCATTAGAATGGCGTCGTACTATGATCGAATTTGAAGTTGATGATCATTATGATTCATTTATATTTATTGGTAGAGTTCAAAGTATTGTGGCCATTGATGATATAAGTGCTGTTGAATCTAGTTGTGATTCTATAACACATAATCATGATTTTTGTGATTTTGAAATGAATAGTAAATGTATGTTTGAAAATGTTTATAATCAATATAGTGAATATTGGAGTATAATGACTGCATCATCAATTGACCTACAAATGGTTGATCATACAACACATACATCGGATGGACATGTTTATGGTTTTATTTTTGATAGTTCAACATCAGTCAAATCGACAATTGTTCAAACAAAATCTTTATCATATCAATCACCATATTGTATACGTTTTTCCTATTATCTAACTGATGATGTTACACTTTATTATAAAACATCAACCGATTTGGAAAAATCTATTTGGCATGTATCCGGTACAACCAATGGTCTTTGGTTTACACATCAACATAATATTGATGCACAATTAATACAAGCAAAATATCATCTACAATTTGGTATTAAAAATGATGGTAACAAACAAAAAGGAATGGCATTTATTGATGATGTTACCATTTATCCGAAAAGATGTGATCCATCTATTCGTTGTGATTTTGAAAATGGTAATACTTGTACTTTGGAACCAATATTACCTATAAGCACAAAAATTTCTGCAGATAAAGCATTAGAATTAACCAAAAGAGCTAATTATACATTACTTGATATCGATTATTTATCCGGTTATACAGATGAATTATTTCATGTTTATTCACCATTACAACAACATGGATTTGTTCCATTTGATCATACTAAAGGTTCTAGATATGGAAAATATCTAATCATACAATTATTACGTGGTTGGCGTGGTATTATTATTACTGAACGTTATTCATTATCTAAACAACAACGATCATTATGTTTAACAATGGCCGTTTATTCAAGCCAATCTGTTATTCTTGAAGTTTATCAAGGTGATTCATCCATTCTGGATGAAGGAATGAAAATATGGGAACTTACCTATAATACTAATTCATGGAAAGAATTTGAAATTCTTGCTAATGCTCGTAATGATAAAACTGAAGATATTTTCTTTTTTATTGTTAGTATTTTTTATTTTTATTTATTTATTTTTTTAGATAATTTCTTTTTTAATCATATAAATTAATAATTATAGGTTGCAACCGGATTAATTGGCAGAGCTTATATTGGTATTGATGATTTTGAAATAAAAGATCATTGTACGAATCCATCAAATATTGTAACAACAACTACAAATCCATCATCATCATCAACAACACAAATACCAAATGGTTATTTTGATTGTCAAATCAATGGACATCGATCATTAATACCTTCTTCAAAAGTATGTGATTATCATAAAGATTGTACAAACAATATGGATGAAAAATATTGTGGATCATGTTCATTTGAAATGCATGATCAATGTCGATATTCGATTATACCGAAAAAAGATGATAATTATTCATTTAGATTTCGTTTTACTGATCAAACACCTGATCATCAACCAAATGATTATTATTTTCGATCATCAATAACAGCAAGTGGTACTGGACAAAATAATTATCAACTATCATTACTTATAACACCGCTTATTCATCAATCATATCTTGGTTGTGAATTAAAATTCTATTATCGATTCAATACAAATGTTACCAATTTTCAAATGGCTAAACATCAACCATTTAATATTTATCTCTATCTAGATAATATAGGTATACGAACAAAAATATGGCAAATTTCAGCAATAAATCCATTACCTGAAAATGAATGGAATGAAATCTATATAAAATTAAATCGAATCGTACATCCATTTTATCTGGAATTTGAAGCACATCCATTTACAGCAATGCGACAACATGGTTATCATTCATTACATGATATTAAATTTGATTATTGTGAACCACCAGAACCGGCCAAAAATATTGCCGAAGAATGTGAAAATCGATTTCATTGTCGAAATGGTGTCTGTATTAATGAAGAATTTGTTTGTGATTTTGAAGATGATTGTGGTGATAATTCCGATGAATATAATTGTGATGAAAAATTACGTTTTAGTTTTGAAAATGGTTATCAAAGTTGGGCTGAAACATATCTACCACATGTAAATAATTGGACATTACAACGAGCAAATAGTATTGGAAATTTACGTGAAAGTCCAACATTTGATCATACAACTGGTTTTGTTGGTGGTTCATATCTTTTTACACGTTCAGCAAAAGATGTACCAATTTCACATGCAATAATCGATAGTCCAGCATTCACAATAACAAATGGTTATGATCAATGTGATATACGAATGTTTACAATGAAAAATTCACGTAATTCTACTATTTCATTTAAATTATGGAATCTAGATACAGGTGGAATAAAAACATTAAGTATTTTTGATAGTTATCGTGGTTTGGCATTCTATCCAAATTGGATTACTGTACATTCAGAATCGAATGATTATACATATAAATTATTAATCGAAGTATTACTTAATCGTACGGATGATAATTTTCTTGATCCATATGTTGCTGTTGATGATATTATATTCTATAAAGGTTGTACATTAATCGATCATCCAATACATAATTTAACAACAGAAAAACCATGTATTGGATTAGTTTGTAATGATAAACATGAAAAAAAAATCTGTTTACCTGTACAAAATATCTGTGATTTTATTGAACAATGTAAAAATGGTGAAGATGAACAACAATGTGGTGATTGTAATTTTAATAATCAAACAATGTGTGGTTGGAAAACGGGTAATATGAATGGTGATAATATTCCATATCAATTATATGTTGCAAATGAAACGCCGGAAAATTTACCAAAAAAAGATGCAAATAATAGTTCGAATGGTGGATATGTTGGTGCATATAAACGTACAATTGTAAATGCAAGATTACAATCAAGTATTATGGGTCCACAAATTAATGCACCAACAACGGAAATTTGTTCAATTGAATTTTCCTATCAATCCAATATGTTTACAACAATATCTATTTTGGTTAATAATCGATTATTACGTAGTATTACTAAAAGAAAAACTGATTGGATAACAATACGTACAGATATTGGACGACAACAATCACCATTTAATATTTTTATCCATACAAAAACATTTCAGTTACCACATTTTATTCATATTTTATATGTGGTTAATGATTATTATATGATTATTGATAATATACGAATGATTGATTGTAATCCAAACAATGATCATAATCATAATAATGATACAAAACCAATACAAATTGAAAAATTGAATTGTGATTTTGAACAAGATTGGTGTGGTTGGATTGTACCTGAATCTGATTCCGTTTATGATACATGGATACGAACAAATTCACCATTAAAAGAACCGGGTGAAGATCATACAGAATTAATTATACCACGGCCACATAATTATGGTAATTGGTTAAGTACATTTTCAACAAGTGAAAAATTTTCAACAAATCAATTACGTAGTTCAGGACCAATTAAACCGAATGGTAAAGAAAAATTTTGTCTAACATTTTGGCATTATTATTTTGGAATACAGCTAGCATCATTTCGTGTGTTTATCTATAATTACAATCATCGTTCAAATTTAACCATATGGATGCGTGTAATACCAAATATTCGTTATTGGCAACAAGCACAAGTTGAATTTGAATCGGATTCAGAATTTTATCTATTTTTTGAAGCTCTAGTATCCATGACAACAATTGTTGGTATTGATGATGTACAATTGATAAATAAAGAATGTCCAATTCAAAATGTAGAATATTGTGATTTTGAAGTAAATAATTGTGATTGGGAAATTAAACCTGAAAATCAAATTAAACGTAATGGGGGTCAACTAATTCCTGATCATACTACTGGAACATTATATGGACGATATTTAACGGATAAAGCACAAACAGTTGGATCAACTGTTTCGCTTTATAAAGATTTAAAAAATCTACCATATTTTATTATTAATGATCAAGATGAACGTGAATTATGTTTTAATCTTTATTATTATTTTTCAACAAAAACACCACCATTAGATCCTAAATCATCAATATCGATTTCTGTTTTTCGTGGAAATTATATTGAAAAATTAACAAATATAACAATCAATGATGCATATAATGAAAAATCAACAAACGTTTGGTCATTGTTGAGCGTAAATTTTGTCGCTATTAAACAAAATGTATTGATTGTTCATATTGAACGTAATGATCAACAAACAGAAATTTTATTAGATGATTTTAATATTCAATCAACACCATGTAAAGAACAAGGTTCTTGTGATTTTGAATATGATATGTGTGGTTGGCATAATGTTTTAATAGAATCATTATCACATCCATTAACAATATTTTGGGTACGTTTACAACCGACAAATCGTTTTGCAAAAAAAGATGGAATGTCATATGATCATACATTACGTTCAAAAAAAGGAAATTATATGGTATTACCTGTTGAAATGCATGCAAGATTAACTGGAACAGTTACATTGATTAGTCCATATATGAAACGTAAATCATCTAAATCAATTTGTTTTCAAATGTATTATTTTGCTAAAAGTTCTGATGCTTCAATTGGTATTATTGCAATGAAAATTCAGATGATAAATCTTGAAAATGGACAAACAGTAAAAGAATTTATAACAAATGCAACAATCAGTTTACAATGGACATTATTTAAACAAACATTTGATAATGTACCAAATATTTATTCATTTCGTATTATTGTTTCAAATGTTCAACGTATTCAAAGTGATATCGGTATTGATGATATTTATATTGAACAAAAATCATGTCCAAATCCAACATCTGAAACAACTATACGACCAACAACATCGATACCAGATAGTGAAAAAATTGCCGATTGTAATTTTGAACAAACAAATTGTAAATGGAAATATTCAAATGATTCATGGAAAATAATATCATTTGTTAATGAAATTCGTCATAATATGTATGCACCACCAATAGATCATACCTATTTATCAAAATATGGAAATTATCTTTTATTTACTAATCAATCAACAACTAATAATGATGAATATAAATTAATTTCACCTGATTTTTCAAATGATAAAGATCGTTGCCTATTACTTTGGTATTATAATGATGGTGAAGATCCATTTTATTTGAGTTTTTATTATCATTTAAATGTTAATGATCAAACCAAGCTAATTGGCCGTTATGGTTCAACAATGGAAACACGTCGTTGGCAATTGATTAAAATCGATATACCATATGTTGATAATGGATCAAAAAAACAATCACGAATAAATATTCAGATAAATTATCGACCATCATCGCCAAAATTTTTCTCCATATTTGCTATCGATGATATCAAAGTACGACCTGGACATTGTGGTCATCAATATAATTATGTTTATACATTTACAAAAGGAATTGAAAATTTAGAAATTCAACAATTACAACCAATAAATTCACATAAATTGGCTGTTCGTATCTATCCAAACAACGAAGATCATTTCGAAAATGTACCCGGTTTTGATCATACAACATATACATCAAATGGTTATTATTTTCTATTCAAAAATTCACCACAAATCAATAATATTGCTAATCAATATTTTATTGATACATTACAAATGCGTAATATACCTAGACAATATTTTGATTTTAAAATTTGTGTTCGTTTTGCTTATCAATCTCGTGGTAATGCTGAATTTTATATCTATCATCTACCGAATGAAATGGAATTAGTTGGTGATTGGAGATTTTCCAGACCTATTTGGCATCAACAAAATCCTCGATCATTTTGGACTATTGAAGAATTTAATATCGGTGCAAATTATATTTCGAAATTAATATTTTATATGTCCAAAAAAAGTCAAGATGATAGTTTTGTTGCTTTGGATGATATTACCGTATTATTGAATCCATGTACAGCTCCGATTGATTGTAGTTTTGATATGGGTCATTATTGTACATATACATCATATCAAGATTCAGATGTTAATTATCATTTTGAAGTATTTCAAGCACCAGCAATTGATCTTGAATGGCCTGGACCAACATATGATCATACAGTAAAAAGTAATGATGGTGGTTATCTATTCTTAACTGCTTATCGTGCTGTTTCACATATTGAACCATTACATGCAAAAATTGTTTCCGGTGTTCGAAAAATTTCTAAAAACAATAATGTCGGGTGTTTAGAAATGTGGACCGTAATCAATAGTAATGATGCTAGTCTTAAAGTAACGATCATACGTTATGGTAAAAAATGGAATGATTCAAATAGAAAAATTTTAGCATTCGAAATGAAAAATGTTGAACAACGTGAATGGACAAGAATATTATATACACTAAATAAAACAATTCTTGATGGAACCGATGAAGTACAGATATTAATCGAAGGATCATTAGGTTCGAATCGAATGTCAGCAATTGCTATTGATGATATTGTATTAAGTGAAGATTCATGTGATAACAAAGGATTACTTTGTGAAAATGGTATTGCAATCGATCAAGATCGTATATGTAATTTTATTAATGATTGTCCAAGCGGTTTGGATGAAATGGGTTGTGGTAATTGTAATTTTGAATCAGATATGTGTGGATGGTTAGATACAGATAAAATTCAAGGAATAAATCTACCATGGCAACGTGTTGGTGTAAATGAATTACAATTAATCAATTCAAATGCACCAAAAATGGATGGTTCATCCAAAACGAATGGTCATTATGTTATAATGAGACCACATGGACCATTAAAAACAGATGAAGGTCGTTCTGAAATGGCAATCAATTATAAACTTCGACCATTTTATTTGAAAAATTCATTCAAAACATGTGAAATTCATTTTGATTATTATCTACATACAATATCGGATTATTTTCTGAAAGTTAGTTTTGGTCATGAACCATCACAATTATCGACATTCTATACGTTAACACATGAAGGTCAAGGTGGTTGGCGTCAAGCAAGAGCATTGGTTGGACAAGTTTTATCATCATTTTTCATTGAATTTGATGCTTTTCAACAACAAATCAATCCATCAACAACAATATTCGCATTGGATAATATAAAATTTGTAAATTGTTCACGGCCAAAACCATTACCAGCTAATCATGTATGTCCAAAACAAGGAATTCTTTGTAATAGTACACGTTTATGTATAACAATCGATGAAATCTGTGATAATGTTAATGATTGTGATGATATGGATGATGAAAGAAATTGTTATCGTTATCGTTTATGTTCATTTAATTCATTATATGATTGTGGTCTAACTATACCGTTAGATAATCAAACACGTGTTTTATGGCAACAATCGAATGGAAATCAACATCGAACTGATCGACAAATTGGCTATGAACCATTGATTGATAATACACAGTATGTAGTTCTTTCTTTCTTTACTTTTTTTAAAAAAATTCTAATCTTGTTAATATTATCATTATTGTAGACGAAATGGAAATGGAAATTATTTCCTATTAGTACCGAAACCCGAATGGAATCAACCATTAATTCATGCCGATTTTTATACACCAATATTTCGAACACAAACAACAAATACAAATAATTTGAATGATAATTCTTGTCATTTTCGTTTCTTTTGGTATATGCATTCGGATTTTGATAAAATTTCAATGGAACGTTTAGAAGTATATGTACAAGAATTAACGGATGATATGAAAAATGTAACCGGTTCATTAATATCGAAATTATTTTTACGTGGCCAATATGATCAACAACAACGTTGGAATAAACAAGTTATTTTACATAAATCTCATCGGCCATTTCAATTTATTATACGTGGTATATTGAATTATGAAAAAACACGTATAGCAATTGATGATTTAAGTTATGGTTTATATTGTATTCATCAAACAATACCAACAAATCCACCACCAACAATTGGTCCAATTACAACTGGAAATCCACCATATATTCATAATAATCATCATCATCATGGAGGTAAAATATTTTTTACTTGAATGATTTTTTTTTTGCTGAAATTTTTTTGTTTTTCTTCTCTAATATTTAGCATGGGCAGCTATTATGGTACCAATATTATTAATAATTGGTATTGCATTCGGTTTTTATGGTTATCGACGTTCAAATGGACAAAATCGTCTAAATCGATCGTTTGTTACAATGTTTATGAGTAAAAGTGATACGGTTGTATTGGCGGCTGATCAATGATTTAATTTGATTATTTTTTTCTAAAATTGATTTTCATCTTTTTTTTTGTTTTCTAAATATTTATTTTAATTTAATTATCAATAATAATAATAATAATTTTTCATAATTGACAAGAGCAAATTTTTTTTTTGAAAATAATAGAAATTACAATAATTGAAACAGCGAAAGATAATGAATAATATATAAGAAAGTTTATCAAAAAGAATATATGCCCAGTGATTCAGTTGTCAGATGGACTAGCCATAGAATGATTTTTCAATTGTTTTCAATTCATTCTGTGGAATAAAATGTGTTGGTCCGGCAATTTCGGCAATAATTTTTGTATAATATGGTGAATAAACGGCACGATTATATGAAACAAAACGTGTAAATTCACTTGCAATCTGTATTAATTCGTTAGCAAATGTACTTAAACCGCTTGGAACCTGTATCGGTGCAGCTGTTTGTGATGATGGTGATTGTATAACACGTTCAATAAATTCAAGTATACGTCTTTCCATAACTGAACGAATACGATTACCTGGTGTTGATAGTTCATTTATCTGATATTTAAGTGAATCTAATTTTGTTTCACTTAAACCAGGTGCTTGATAATCATTTAATGCTTTTTCAATCGATGTTCGTACTTGTATGGATATCGATGTAAGCATCGATTTTAGATCATTTAATTTCAAATATTGTAATGGAATTTTTTGTTGTTGTTCATCATCACCACTAGATGTATTCATTATTGCTTCTAAATCTTGTTTTAATTTTAAACGAAAATCTTTAATCGATTGTAATGGTTCACCAATAGCGGCAAATGTAACAACAAAAACACTACTAATCAATGTTACTTTGAAAATTTTTTCACGAACCAAATCGATACGATTACGAATCAATAATAATGTTTCGGGATAATCATCTTCGGTTTTTTGTTCATCACTATTATTAATCATATAACAATTGAATGATGGATTTAAACATTGAAGTAGATCAATATATGATGAAATTAATACTTTATTGAATAATTTTTTCATATCTGTTTCATGCGATAGATCTAAACATTCATAATTTCTTCGTATCCATTTACTGGTATATTCAAGTACATCGATTTGATATTCTAGTTTTTTTATTGAAAAATTTTAAAATAAAATTATGATTGGAATAAACAACAAAACAAAACTTACTTTGATGTGCTTCGATTAAATTTTTAAATTTTTCACGTTCATATTCTACCGATGCTAATTGTATATGTGGACGGAATTGTTGAATATAAAAATTGGCAAAATCTAAACGCATTACTTCAAGAAGTTCAAATATTCCTCTATTTTTTTGGGGGGGGAGAAAAACAAAAAATCATTAGATATAAAAAGCAACAATTTAAAAGAAAAAAAACATACTTAAACAATGGTATCATATCTTTAATTTCGGTCAATTTTTTAATCATTTCATCACGAACCGGACAACAAAGTCTTGAACAAACTGATAAAATATATTGTGAATAACGTTGAAAATCAAAAATACCATTTTCAACTTTTTGTTTAATCAATTCAATATCCAATATTTCATCAATTTCATTTTTAAGCTGTACATGTTGTGGCATTAAAAATAATAATAATGTTTCTTTTATTTCATTTAATAATGAAATTGCTTGTTGATAATTTGGTGGCTGTTCAGCTAATTGTTCTTCCAGAATATTCCAGAATGCTTTTTTCATTGTTTCACGTACATTTGATTCAAGTTTTGATAATGGTGATGTTGTTGTTGTTGATGATGATGATGATGATTCTTCTTTACGTTCTAATTTAAAATCTTTATTCAATACAATTTCATTTACTAATGCCATACGATTCATTTCGTTTGCTGTTTTCATAATTTCTTCGAATGAAACAAAATTCGGTGGTGTAATACCGAATATAGGCATTTGATTTGTACTGGAAGGATTATTCGACGATGATGATGGTGTTGGACGTTGTCGTTTATTATCAGTATCATCATCATCATTATTATGAAATTCTTTACGATGATGATGTTCATGTTCATCACGTTCATCATCGTTGAAACCATTTTTACGTCCAGCCGTTGAAGATTTCATCGAAAATGATGATGGTGAAGACGATGATGATGGTTGTTCATCATTGGTATCAAGATGAAAAATTTCATTATTTGATGATGATGATGATTTAGTTGAACTTTGTGTTTGTTCAAATTTTTCACCATCATTCGTATTGTTTTGCATTTTGTTGGAAGATAGAATTAGTCTTTCTCAAAATCTAAAATCTTAAAAAGTAAATCTTTAAAAAAATATAAAAATCAATTAATTTGAAGAAAAAATTGATTGTCTTGGATATTTATAAATCGAAAAAAAACAACTGTCGACAATGCTGTTGTTGTTAAAACAATTTAAAATCAAATGAAAATGAATTTAGAGCAACAACAAATGAACTAATTTTAAAGAATTAAACATGAAGAAAAAGAGAAAACTAGGTCAAGAATTTAAGAAGAAGAAGAATAAGAATTTAGCTTGATTGATTGAACAGATTTGAATGCGGAAATATTTATTTTTTTGTTTGGTTAAAAATACACACAAACCACGTATACTGTTGTTCGATTGTGATGAACAAGTTTCTTTTTTTTAAAAGACAAATTTTCTCAAAAGGAAAGAGAAAATAACGGGAAAAAAATTTGAAAATTTCTGGAAATTTTGGAGCAAGTCTTTGCAAAAGAGAAAGTCTAATGATGCGTAGCAAATCTTTTTTTCTCTGGAAAAAAAATTTGAAAAGAGAAAACAAATATCCGTAGGACGGGAATAAATTTTCCTTTTAAATAGGATCTTTTGTTTTGTTTTTGGAAAATGATAAACCCACGATGATGATGATGATTTGACAGAAATTAAACAATCAAAACAAAGACGTAATTTAAAAAGGATATTGTCATCATAAATCAAAATGAAAAGAGATTGATTGGTTACCTTTTCTTTTTTTGACAATTCGAATGATTCAATAATGGAAATCTTTTTTTTTTTGGTTTGGATAATGGATGTAACCAGAAATTTTTTTGTTTTTTGTTTCTTTCCAAATGATGATTCACATTTGGTCATAAAATGGACTCGCTCTTTCCTGACTTTTCATTCAGCCAAAAAACAATTTTTTGCGAATGAAAATCCAAAAAAAAAAAAAAAAAATCATATGGGAGACTTTTTTTTTTTTTCCGTTTTTTAGAAAACCCCATTTTTTGGAAAAACAAAAACA